AGTATTTACATTTCACCGCTTCACAAGTATTACTAATCATCCGGGTTCGAATCCCACGTCCGGTATTTTAACTCGTTGCGATTCAGACGAACAGAAAAAGTTGGTCAAAGCCACCGCCCCTGTGAAGAAGTCCGCACCCGTGGTGGCTGTGCGAAAGCCGAAGAAGCTCAGGAGAAGGCTGCGCTTGTCAGCAGTGTTCCGTTCGTTGGGTCGAGAGGATAGAATCAGGTGAGGTGTTGTGGTGAAATCTTGCAATCTTGCATTTCCTCAACGGCAGAGATCGTCAGAGTGTAGTTCCTGATGATGATCGGTATACGCCGAATTATGCTGTTTGTTGGCCTTCGATGAAAGTGAGTCGAATTGGACGAGTTGTGATGATGAGGAGAGGCAGGTCGCTGATTTCAATGAGAGAAAGCCGTCGGAGACTCGAAGGGATAGAGTGAAGGCTCTTGAGGAGGAGAGGCGTTCGATCTTAGTCAAGGCTATAGAGAAGCGAGAGAAGGCCGCTGAGGATCCGGTGAGAGACAATGAAAAAGTCAGTCTCTGTAGTTTAGTGAGGGATGTTCGTGGATATCGACCATAAGGTCGTGGGTTCGATCCCTGGTGTATTTGAAATATGTTTTCGTCAGGGCCCTGTGGAGGAGGAGGAGGAGAAAACTAAGCGAGTGAGAATGTATGGCTACGACGACGATGAGGATGAAGACGAGCGGGATGATATTTATGATGATGATGATGATGATGATATCATTCAAATCGAAGAGGTGACCTACCGATGCCTTTGATGTCGAAGTTCCTTAATTGAATTGATTGTTCTCAGAGGAGAGGCCGTGGTGGGGATCCTCTCAGTTCTATACCGAGAGATGCGTACATACTAGGCGGTGGCTCTGGCTCGATAAGAATACCAGATTTTGATAAGTAGATTTGCTTACCTGTTTCGTATCTTTCACGCTCAACCTCAGGATGCTCCCAAGACCCGATGTTGTTACTCGCAATGTGAATGAGTTTATCCCCGCAGAGAATGCTGATTTGGCCAGCAGTAGGTCGTGGCCATCCTCGAGTTTCTATCTATTTTATAGGTACCAGAGTGAACCCACTGGCGAACCTAATAGAGTTTAGGAAAATGCCGGGAGGACAGAAGTCTTCGAAGCCTCGTAAATCACTCCTGCGTGGCGAGCCCGTACCGTTGGATCCGGATGCACATCGGTAAGGATTCCCGAGGCAAACTAGTCGGAAATTCGTGCTTTGAT